CTCAGCCTCCTGAGTAGCTGTGATTACAGGCATGCACCACCATGCCTAGCTGATTTTTGTATCTTAGTAGAGACGGTGTTTCACCATGTTGGTCAGGCTGGTCTCAAACTCCTGACCACATGATCTGCCCACCTCAGCCTCCCAAAGTGCTGGGATTATAGGCATGAGCCACCGCACGCCCGGACCATCTGAGCCATTTTTAAGTGTACAGTTCAGTGGTAGCAAGTACGTTCATACTGTGCAACCATCACTGCTATCTCCACAATTCTTTTCATCTTGTGAAACTGAAGCACAGTGCCAATCAAACAATTCTTCATTCCCCTCCCTGCAGTCGCCAGCTGCCACCACTCTACTTTCTGTACTGATGATCTTGGCTACTCTAAGTACCCTATGTAATCTTACTGTATTTATCTTTTTGCCACTGGCTTATTTTACTTAGTATAATGTCCTCAAGATTCACCCATATTATCGATTCTGTATACATCAGCCCACTGCCTTTTGGCCTCCAAAGCTTCTGATGAGGTATCTGCCGACAAACTTACTGATGATCCCTTGTATGCGATGAGTGACTCTCTTGCTGCTTTCAAGAATCTGTCTTTGGGTATATACAGTTTCATTATAAATGCATCCCAGGGTGGGTCTCTTTGAGTTCATCCTACTTTGAGTTTGTTGAGCTTCTGGGATGTTTACATTCACATTTCATCAAATTTGGAAAGTTTTCAGTCATCACTGCTTCAGATATTCTCTCTGACTCATTCTCTAGCTCTTCTCCTTCTCAAGACACCCGCAATGCGTATGCTGGTCCATTTGACAGTGTCCCAAAGGTCCCTCAGTCTCTGTTCATTTTTCTTCTCCTTTTTTTCTGTTCCTCACTCTCAAAAACTTCCATTGTCCTATCTTCTGACTCGCTGATTCTTTCCTCTACCTGTTCAACTCTGCCTCCGAATCCCTCTAGGGTACTTTTCACCTCTAGAATATTTTGGTTTCCTTTTATGTTTTCTATCTTTTTATTCATACAGTGTTTTCTTGACTTTCTCCATGTCTCTTCATTTAGTTCTTTGGACATCTTTAAGACAGTTGTAAACAGTTGTTTTAAAGTCTCTGCCTAACAGGTCTGTCATATGGTCTTACTCAGGGACAGATTCTGATGGTTCCTTTTCTTCCTTTTGATGGGTTATACTTTATTGTGGCTTTGTTTGCCTTGTGACCTTTTGCTGAAAAGTGAACACTTAAATCTAATAATGTACCTCTGGAAACCAGACTCTCCCCTTCCCCAGGATTTCCTGTTACCCATTTTCATATTTTTGTTTTTGTTGTTGTTACAGACTGTCTCTGTGCAAATGATCAGCCTGAGGTTTAAACTTCAAGTCTTCTCAGGCCCGTTCTGAGCCAGCGCCTTCCTCTGGGCAGGTGTGGTGACTTTTGAAATTTCCTAGCAGTTTTGAATGTCCTGGTCTTCGATGTCTGGCTCCCAAAAAAGGACAAAGGGAAAAATGAGGGTGTAAAAAAAGTGCCAGCCCTTTAAATCCCCTGGAAGTAACTTTAGCCAGAGAGGGAGAGGGTTGCAACAACTGAGGGAGGTACAATGTCAGCAGCCACTCTTTCTTCACTGTACTTCTGCTATTAGAAGCAGCAGCAGCAATGAGAGCACAGATCCCTGATATCTGTAGGACAGGGTCCTTTTTGCCCACCTTGGTTTCTACAAGCTCTAGAACACACAGCTGCCTGCTACAGGCCTGCAGTGGAGGACGGGTACCTGCTAAGGACTGACCAAAATTAACCACAATCTAATGTACAAGCATTCCCTGTGAAGTTGCAAGCCTTCAAGAGACTCTGGAGTTTCCAAAACAGTTACACCACAGATTCTGACACCACAGTTGTCCTCTAAGTAGAGGACATAGATTCCTACTCCATCTTCCCAGAATCCTCTCCAAGCTTCATAATTCCTACAATGCATTTCTTCAGAGTTTTGGCCTTAAAAGAAGTAGTCAAAGGAAACACTGTGAATCCGATTTTAATTTAATTCAGAACTGGATTTGTTTCAAAACATACCACTCTCAACTGGTGATATCACTTTTTCTGAGCTACCTCAGTGACAATCCCCCATCTGCAACCAACAAGCCTCCACTCAAAAGAAGGAAATACACAACCAGGGCAGTGTGTCTCTGGAATGTGTTTAGGAATGCTGGGAATGACGTCTCTATGTAGGAAGGAGGCTTGTGTGCACAATGAGGCTCCTGTTAAACAGATTCATGATCTAAGTAAACTCCTAACCCAGGAAGTAAGACAGTCTGGTTTCCTGGAAATAATTAAGAACTGGGAGTCAGAAAAACCTGGACTCGGCTGGGCGTGGTAATTCACACCTGTAATCCCAGCACTTTGGGAAGCCAAGGAGTCTGGATCACCTGAGGTCAGGAGTTCAAGACCAGCCTGGCCAACACGGTGAAACCCTGCCTCTGCTAAAAATAGAAAAAAAAAAAAAAAAAATTAGCTAGGCGTGGTGGCAGGCTCCCGTAATCCCAGGTACTCAGGAGGCTGGGGCAGGACAATCGCTTGAACTGGCGAGGTGGAGGTTGTAGCAAGCTGAGATCGCGCCACTGCTCTCCAGCCTGGGCAACAGAGTGAGACACTGTCTCAAAAAAGAAAAAAAAAAAGAAATATCTGGACTCTAGTCTTCACTAGCAAGACTTTCTGGATCTTGATTTCCTCATCTGCAAAATGACAGTTACTAAGCCAATAGTCCCTGAGGTACTCCTAACTCTGTAATAACCTTATCACATGAAATAATCAGGAGCAGAGTGTGCTCATGATACTTAATTTTATGTGTCAACATGACTGGGCCACGGGTGTCAAGGTATTTGGTTAAACATTATTCTACTGTGTCTGTGGGTCATTTCTGGATGAGATTAACATGTGAACCGGTAGACTGAGTCAAGCAGATTGCTCTCTCCGATGTGGGTGGACCTCATCCAATCCATCCAAGGCCTGAATAAAACAAACTGGCTGAGTAAGGGAGGACTCGCTCTTTCTGGCCGGGCTCTCTCTATACCCAGCTGGGATACTGGTCTTTTCCCGCCTTCAGACCTGGACTCGGCTGGAACTCACTCCACCAGCTCTCCTAAGTTCTCGTGGCTTTGGGCTTAGACTGGAACTACCATCATGGACCCTCCTGGCCTCTTACTTGCTGACTGCAGATCTTTGGACTTCCCAGCTTCCATAATCATGTGAGCAAATTCCTTATAATAGTTAGAAAGACAGACAGGATAGACAGGCAGGCAGGCTAGCCAGGTATCTCCTATTGATTGTTTCTCTGGAGAGCCCTGACTAACAGAGTACTGTATGGAAGAACAAAGGGGACAGAGAAACCCTGACTTCACTTGTATCTCAGCCTTGGTGCATCACTTCACATTTCTGCAAGAGCGGAGAGAGCTGGATATAATCATGCACATTTGAGACAGAGAGTGGCTTCAAGGAACAGAAAGTGGCTGAGGTCCCACTGAGACTGGAGACGATGAGAATGTTAATGCCTCCCCTACCAATCTTAAAGGATGGCAGTGAAAATCAAGTAAGATCATGGATATATCTTGCACTGTAATTAATATAATTTTTACTTCTTGATGACTTTACGGGAAAGAAGTTGGCTACAGCTGTTATCACCATCAGATAAACAGCACCTGAAGAGCCACCCTCTCCCCCAGCTTCCTTGTCCATTTACCAACGCAGTTTGGGGTAAGAAACTAGCTTTTTTTTTTTTTTTTTTTTTTTTGAGACAGAGTCTCATTCTGTCACCCAGGCTGGAGTGCAGTGGTGCAATCCAGGCTCACTGCAAAAACCTCTGCCTCCTGAGTTGAAGCAATTCTCTGCCTCAGCCTCATGAGTGGCTGGGATTACGGGCATCCGCCATTATGCCCGGCTAATTTTTTCTATTTTTAGTAGAGATGGGGTTTCACCAACTTGGCCAGGCTAGTCTTGAACTCCTGACCTTGTGATCCAACCGCATTGGCCTCCCAAAGTGCTGGGACTATAGGCGTGAGTCACCAAGCCTGGCCACAAACTAGCCTTTTGAGGCACAAATTGCCTCTGGGACAGGTTAAGCCTAATTGCCATTCACATTTTAGTATTAAGGGCATCAATTAAACAACACCTACCAGAAATTGCCCTAATGGAAAAAGACATTTTATTTCCGACGGAAACAAAGCAATGGAGGAATAAATTCTCTCCAGACAAGTCAGGCTCCTGGTTGCTTGCCCTACGCACACAACTGAAGAGACCTGGGTCTCCGGGAAACTTGTGGAAACCATTTGGCTTCTCTGGTTCTCCACCCGTGAGAAAGGGTACTGGCCTAGATGACCTCACGGCTCCTGCAGCCACCCGCCCCATGCTTACAGCCAGCAGCCCCCAACTCTCCTCCCCACCCTGTCAGCTGCATTATAACTTGCGTTGCCTGTCTCCCCTACCAGGCAGCAGGTTCCGGTTGCACTGTGCCCAGCTGGGCCTAGGGCACAGCAGATTAGAAATGTTTGCTTGGAGGCTGGGTGCGGTGGCTCACGCCTATAATCCCAGCACTTTGGGAGGCCAAGGCAGGTGGATCACAAGGTCAGGAGATCGAGACCATCCTGACCAACATGGTGAAACCCCATCTCTACTAAAAAATACAAAAATTACCTGGGCGTGGTGACACGCACCTGTAGTCCCAGCTACTTGGCAGGCTGAGGCAGGAGAATTGCTTGAACCCAGGAGGCAGAGGTTACAGTGAGCAAAGATTGCGCCACTGCACTCCAGCCTGGTGCCCTGCAACAGAAGGAGACTCTGTCTCGAAAGAAAGAAAAAGATGAAAAGGGAGGGAGGGAGGGAAGGAAATAAAGAAAAGAGGAAAGAAATGTTTGCTTGGCCAATGAAAGGCATGTGGTCACGGCAGCCCCGGCTGCTGCACAGGGCATGGCCAGGGTCACATGGGGCTACTCGCTGTGCCTCCCTCAGGAGAGACGTAGCAGCCAGACGCGCAGGGCTGGGACCCTATCCACCCTGTGGGCACTGCTCCCTCCGTGCTGAGGCCCTTGGCAGTGGGAGCCAGGGGCACAGCTGGGCTGGCCAAAAGCAACATGCCAGGGCCGCCGCACAGGGCAAAATATTCACTGAGGAAAAACCAAACCTTACCTCTGATCCCAACGAAGACGGTCAGGCCAAAGCAGATGAAGAAGACGACAAACACGAGGACAAAGTGGCGCTTGGAGAGTGTGTAGAGCCGCATGGGCGCCAGCCTGGGGGCAGAAGCCAGCAGTGAGGGATGGTCAGAAGGCCCGGGGGTCATAGGAAATCAGCCCTGTAGCAACAGCTCCCCCGACACGGCGCTGCCCATCTCCCCTCCCAGCCCCTCACTCCCGAGTGGCCCTGCACTGCCACCAGGTGGCCTCCAGGACACGACAGCCCCCATGACCTCAGTGCCACGAGCTCCTGCATGTTCCAGGTCAGAGGGTCCATGGACACACCAGCCACCAGGATCTGCACATGGCACACCAACCCCACGCTCAAGGAAACATACTGGGGCTACTAGGCCCCCCAGGGGTCACTGCCACCAAGGCGGTGGCCAGACCCCACTACCCACCCCGCACACGCACATACACACATGCGCACACACACATGCACAAGCACAAAGCCTACGGGGGTGGCACCGCCAGGCCCCACTGGAAGCTCCAGGTCCTGCCAGCAGCACACTCCTCCTTCCACTGTCCCCACCAGCCCAGAGCCTGACTCCTCCCATCCCAAGTCACTCACAACTTCAGGTCCCCCTTGTGCCACGCACCAACATGGACGCTGCCTTGCTGTGAGGTCTTCTGTGATTTGTGCCGACGGGGAAACCCACTCACCCTGCCAGGTTCCCACTCAGTCACAGGAAAACCCCAGGGGACAGGGATCATTTCCTTTAGAACACCCTGTATCAGGGCCAGCAAACAAGAAAATCTGTAAAGGCCCAGGCAATATGGGAGGCTTTGGGAAAACTCGGGCTCTGTCACAAGGCACAGCTCTGCTTCTTTGGGCAGCAGGGGACACATGAGTATGACTGTGTCCCAGTCAAACCGCTGACAAAAGGGGCGCGGCCGGCCCCCACCCTGTGCCGAGGAGGAGACCCACAGACCAGAGGGATGCGCGGCGCTGTCTGTTTCGCTCTGTCTTCTGCGTTCTCTGTCGTCCTCGCATGTTCTGTCTTAGGAGCCAGATCAGCAGGAAGGAGTCTGAGCACCTCACCTCAGGGACAGGCAGCTTCACGCCCACCTGGGAGGCAGACACAGGCTCACCCCAGCTTTGCAGGAAGGTTACTGGCTTCACGGTCCAAAGCTCACAAGGGCAAGGGCACCCCCACCCCTACGGTACACACCCAAGACTGCGGCTGCAGAGCAGGAAGTCACTGCTGGCCAGCTTCAGGGCCAGGGCAAGGCTGTGAGTCAACACCACTGGGACATGGCTCTGCTAACACCAGGTCTGCTGCCCCAGCAGGGAATGCGTGGCCACCTGGGCAGTGAGCACACAGGCTAGGGTTACTAGGTGAAGAAATAAAGAACAGGTGCCTCTGCGGCTGCGCGGGGATTGGGTGCAAACACTCACCCACAAACAAGACAAGAGAGCTGGGGAAGGAGGCGGCCTGGCTCAAGGAGGCGGTCAGGCTCTGGGGCCTGACAGATCCTCAGAGGCCCGGAAGTCATAAAATACCCAAGAGAGGAATGACCTCAGGGAGTAAACAACGCGTTCAATTCACAGGTAGGGAAACTGAGGTCTGGAGACTGTGCACATGCCCAAGATGCTGCAGCCCTGCCCTCTGCAGCCACACTACACAGAGGTGGCTCTGGGATGGTGCTGCAGGCTCCGCTCTACGCCAGTGCCTCAGAGCAAGCCCTGTGGAGTGTGAAGGCTGGCCCGGGAGGCCCTGAGGAGTGTGGAGGCCTGGCCGGGAGGCCTGATGAGTGTGGAGGCTGGCCCAGGAGGCCCTGCAGAGTGTGGAGGCTGGCCCAGGAGGCCCTGCAGAGTGTGGAGGCTGGCCCAGGAGGCCCTGCAGAGTGTGGAGGCTGGCCCAAGAACAAGTCTCCTATGACCTCCCGTAGTTATCCCAGCTGACAAGTCTATCCTTAGTTTAAGCATGCTGCGTTTACTAGGTTATTGTTTTAACACCGCAGAATGGAAGATTCCTAGGCAGCTGCTCAGGGCCTTTTCACGTTGAAAAAATTACACAAAGCTAAATGGACTAGATGGTGTGGAAATGCAAATAAAGCCTGTAGTTCCGTTAACAGTACTGCACCAAAGTCAATGTCTTAGTTTTGATAAATGCGCCAGGTTATGCGAAGTGCTCCCATGAGGGGAAGGTGGGTGAAGAATGTACGGAAACACTCCGCTATCTGACCCTCTGCTGTAAAGCTC